TTCTTTTCTCCATAGCTTCCAGACCGGCTTTACGGTCTTTATATGTCCTAGTCAGTTGATACCAGGGTCTCTTTCCCCGGGGTAAACCGACAGGATCATGAAATTGACCACAAACCATCTGGTGTCGAGGCTAATAGTGGTGGAGACAGATCTCTACTCCCCCGTACTTTCTCATTACGTAGTGTTTAATTAAGCACAAGGACAACTTTGCTTTTTTAAATTTGCAATGTTTAAATATATCAAGGATGTTTATCAATTTTCGAGATACGCAGTACAAGAACGTTTTTGTCTAGTACATCTTCCTGAATTCATAATTTTTGCTTCGCTCTGTCTGTTTTAATTTTTATAAGGGAAAATACTTGAGTCTGTATTTGAATTGTGCAGAACTACTCGTAATATAATATATTTATCATTTCTGTATTCATTTGTGTAATATTCACAGGTTTAAGGTGATTTTGGCAGCAAATGTTTGTTTCTTTGAAAAAGGGAGTAGCACTAAACACATTCTTAAACATACTATACTAAGAGGAAGCTGCAGATCGTCACTCTTTGAGATTATTTGTCATTTCCTCTTCTCTTTTGCAGCATAGGCGTGTGGACTGAAGTAGAAAGGGGCCAGCTACTGCTTAATTGAGACTTCACATAGCTATGTAGTATTGCGTCATTATCCGAATGCAGGAACAATTTAGCTTTATGTCACTAGTGTAGATCCTTACATGTGGATACTTCCGTAATATAAAAATCAGAAGAATATGGGGACGGCATATGAAACTTAAAATATGTCTAATCCTTGCAGCCGTACTATGGTCCTGGGGTCGGCTCAGTCTTTAACAGTAATGAGTACCAGGAATCTTCCTGGGAGTAAAGGGCTGCCGGCGCGTAGGGCCGACAGCCTCACCGTCTTCTGTTAGCCGATTGTCTGGAAAATGTGGGAGCCTTGACGTCTCACAACCATATGGACCTCCACGGCCTGTCACAGGCATAGCTTGATGCGTAAGGGCCCCCATACACACACAGTTTGGCCTCTAGTTCGGCCTGCACAGTTGAAGACTGAAAGGCAAAACTGACATGTGTGGTGCGGCCGGCCGGCCAATCGTTTGGACTGTTGGCCTGTGGGAAACCCGTCAGTCCGTCAGTTCTGCCTGCAGGACCATAGCACGTGATGTGTGTGACTCAACATTATAGGCTGGAAGACCGTGATTGTGGCATGAAGCCTGCCGCTTTATCTGCGCGTGTATGGGGAGGAAGGGGAGGGGTAAAGTGTCACAGTTTTGCCTGTAAGGTCGATCGGAAGGCCAAACTGTGTGTGTATGGGGGGCCTAAGGCTAGCAACCTCACCGCCATCTGTGAGCCGATTGACTAGAAAATGTGGGAGCCTCGACATCTTACAACCATATGGACCTCCACGGTCTATTACAGGGATGCTTTACTTTTGCTTTTTAATAATAAGTTATTCTACAAAGGGGAATAAAAAAAGCTGTTGCAGAAAAAGCGTTGAATTTGAGGTTCTCATCGCCGTCGCTATAGAGAGTAATATTATCTTGGGTGTGACACTGTGTAGTCGGATAGAGGTTTACTGACGTTTCGGAGGAACGTATTGCTAACATTTTCAGGGTCAAAGAGTATTTTTTTTATTGCTAGTGGGGTGGGACTAAGTCCCTTGTACTGCGGCCACTTCTGGCCTATTGTACTAGCCCCAGATTGATTGTGGAGCAATTGGTGGAATGAAGATTGGCAGGGGAAATCGAAGTACTCGGAGAAAACCTGTCCCAGCGCCACTTTGTCCACCACAAATCCCACTTGACCAGACCCGAGGGTCAAAGAGTAAGAAAAGCAAGTCAGGGCCAGCATTAGTTACTCTTCTCCTTGGTTTTATTCGTTCTCTTTGGGCCCTTTTCGAGACTTATAAGGATTTTTCATAATCTGATTTTGTTGTTTCTGATAGGGGCCCCACATTTTGATTACCCACACAACCGTAAATTTGGCCCTGTGTATAATCATTCTTCTCATCAAAGACTCGCAACGCACTTTGCTAAAGGCCACGGAACACCGATTGAGGACCACCGCTCTGTAGTGCCATTTAAAGTTCTTTCTCATCTTAGTTTGTCGTCGGATACTTAGCGAAGAAGCGTGTGAAGTTGTGAGTTCCGATGTCGAAGTTTTAGTCAGCGTTTCTGCTGAGTACGAAAGATGCTGAGTGGCAAGAAGCAAGTGACGATGATAAAGCAATGGGAAATGCGGACGTTTCAAAGGAAGTCACTTCGCCGTCTCAGAAGGATGGTCAACTGGTCTGTAGAACAATTTAAAATTCTTCAGAATATGTGTCTATTTCTATGTAGTTATCAGTGGGGCTTCTGTTTTAAGGGCCTTTTCTAATTCTGCTTATACTGAATAAACTCATGATAAATTATTTTTTTATCATATTTTTGTCTGATGTTTTGGACATTAACCACATTGTCCCAATTTTTAAACCATATTTCGGAAGATGGTTACGTTTCCATCATCAGGTGACAGAATAAAATTAGGAATTTTACGCCCTTGGCTGGGGCACACGGTAGCGTAGTTGATTGAATCACTATGCTACAAGCCGGAAGGTCGCAGTTTCGATTCCCGATGAGATCATTGGATTTTTCAATTGTCTTAATCCTTCGAGACGCACTATGGCCCTGGAGTCGAGTCAGCCTCTAACAGAAGCGAGTACCAGGAATCTTCCTGAGAGTAAAGAGCGACCGGCGCATAAGGCCGACAGTCTCACCGCCATCTATGAGCTGTTTTCATAGAAAATGTGGGAGCCTCGACGCCTGACAGCCCTATGGGCCTCCAAGGCCTCGTCCAGGGATAGCTTTACCTTATACACCGTTGGTTTCTTAGTTAGCTGGTCTCAGGAGTGAGGTTAGAGACTTTATTCTGTTACCTGATGGAGGAAAAGGAACCGGGTTCCGAAACACAGGCTCCAAGAAGCAAAAACAAGAAAAGAACAACAAACGGATAAAAGTAGATGGAGTGTAGCACAACAGCTCTAAAGTCGAAACGCACTGTATTCTCTTACACCACAGCGTACGAAGTGCTTTAAGTATTAATTTCCTGAATTTTACTGTCAATGGCGTTTTCCGTACACCTGGAAACTTTTTATGGGGAATAATTCATCCTGGGAATTTGTTCTTTGCCTGGTATATCCAGCAGACACAGAGATATGTGAGAACTCTGCCCTACACAGGGAACGCGGTAGGGTGGAGAATGTTGCGCAATGAAACGTGTTGTATGCATGATTTTTAATTTTTTAATTCGGTAAAGATTCATGGAGTGGTTTTCTGGGTTACGACACCGAGTGATCTGATAGGAGGAACATGTAAGCAGTATTTACCTCCGAAACTTTCGTACCAAGATATCAGAAAACTCGCCATCATAACTACGGAGACCACCGTAAGGGCATCATAATTGTGCCCTTCAGATATTGTTAGGAAGATAAACTTAAGGAGGTTAAATTGGGCTGGATATATAAAACATTGGTGAGATAAATTCGTACAAATTTGTAGTCTAAAAACAGAAATGAATGGGACCATTTTCGGGACCTACACATAAATTGTAGTATATTATTAAAACGGATCTTAAAGAAATTTGTGAGTCGGAATAACTCTGTTAGTATAGTGACTGGGCTACTGGATTTAATTATGCACACGCGCAGAAGCTTCTTTTTTTTTCTACAGAGTCGAGACCGGTTCTGGGGCCCACCCAGACCATTCACCTTCATCTAGTGCTTTGATTAGAAATGCAACGGACTATATCTCCAATCCCCCATACGCCTTAATGGCGTCGTGTTTAATTAAGCATAGAAACGTTACGTTTTGCATGACTGAATAGCATGAGAGGATGTGGACTGGATTGAACTGGCTCAAGATGGGGGTTCGTAGCGAGCATTTGTGAACACAATAATGAATACGTGGTTTACATAAAATTATGAGTTTTGACTAGCTGAAATCCTGTCACATTCTGAAAGACTTTATTTAGTTCGGTTTTATCGGTCAGTGATACCAAATCGTGACAGTAGACACAGTCTTAAGACGATAAAGTGAGTTTAGGTCGAATTGAAACTTTGCTGTACTTTTGATCCTGCTGTCATCCGGATACTCGCCAGACACTAAATGAGATGCGAAACTGTCTTTGCTCGTTCATCCACTTAAAGCGGAGAGATTAATTTTAATTAAGAATGGCTTTCGAGAATTTCAGAAAGGCTGTAATAGACACCAGAGTTAGCAACAGTTGTGACGCAAGACGAAATTAATTTCTGATTCATTTCCTGCTTGTCTTGGCGTCTGTGTCGTTTATTGTTTCAGCATGCGATTTTTGATGTTAGTCGTTCTCTACAACGTTTCTTACTCCTACTTACTCGGTTCCCGTTACTACGGCCTCTTGAAGAACACTGGCCTCCTGTACGACATACGCCATTTCTTTTTCTGTTTGCATCCCCCCCTCCATTTCTTTACTTTCAACTCTCGTAAACCACTCTACATCTTCAGCCTATCCCAGTCTGGGTCTTCTTTTTTCTCAGAATTTTCCATCTAGCGTCTATCGGTAGGGTTTAACGCGTATTATGATTGTGGTCTTGTGGATTGTGATGCAGTATAGTTCTCTAACCGGCTACCGGTGTTTAGGAGGATCACGATGCCGGAATTTCCAAGCCTGACGACGGATGCAACATATTTCTTCGAAACTTTGGTATCTGCCCGCAAAACTATATGATGTTACAACCCAGAAGACCTACAGTGTTAATGTTCATTGCTGTGAAAGTCTCAAAACTTCTGAGATGAGATTGTTAGCCTCGTGCCCAAACCCCAGCCTGGAGGACTAGGGGTATTTTTCTTATGGTCCATACCCTTTGATCTGTGTAGCGTTGCTGACCTGCCAGGAGCTTACGTTCCCGTTGGCATAGCTTTCCAGATTGTTAGGGCACATATGCTGTTTCATGCTTCGGAGGGCTATAATATTGTATCCTTTTGCAGTCAGGACTTGCTCACCGTGTGTCGAGAGTTGAACCTAGAGGACTCTCTAGAGGAACTGATGCGGGAGTTGGGTGCTGATGAACAAGGGCGCATATCATACCAAGAGTTCCTGAGAAGGCGCTTGGCATTGCGCCCTGAAATAGATGCTCTGAGGGGAGGCGATAGCGCAGGTACTCAGGTGCACTGCAGGGGGACTCCAGAGTACCTACCGACGAGCAGCGATAACAGTCTAGGTAAGATACGTGTCTTCTTCCATGCGGGCTTCGTCCGCGTCTGGCTGCCCGCCTTGCGACTTGTACATCCTCCGTTTTTGTAGGCAAATGCCCAGGAAGTATCGGTTGTTTGTAGATTATTTTAAGACCCTCCCAATAGCTCAGCTTGTATAGCGTCAAGTGGTGGGATCATTATTGTACAGTTATTTGGAAATGTGTAGAAAGAAACGCTCTTAGCTTAGTCCATAAATTTACTTGGACATCTCCTAATGGGAAGATACACAATCAAATATACCACATTTCGATAGATAGGTGACGGGACTCAAGTATACTTGATGTCCGATCTTTCAGGGCAGCAGATTGTGATACTGACCACAGCTTGATGGATGCAAAGGTTAGGGAAAGACTGGTAGTGAGCAAACAAACAACGCACAGAGTTCATATGGAGAGGTTCAATCTCAAGAAATTAAATGAGGTAGAGGATAGAGAGCAGTATTGTGTTGAAATCTCAAATACGTTTGCGGCTTTGGAAAACTTGGACACTGAGGTGGATGTTAATAAAGCTTGGGAAACTATTAGAGAGAATATTAAAATTTCCGCCAAAGAGAGTCTAGGTTATTATGAACTGAAGAAGCATAAGCCATGGTTCGATGAAGGATGCTCAAAATTACTGAACCAAAGAAAACAAGCCAAATTGCAATGATTACAGGATACAAGCGAAATAAATGGGGATAATCTGAAAAATATAAGACATGAAACCAGCAGGAGTTTTAGGAATAAAAAGAGGGAATATTTGAAAGACAGAATTGATGAGCTTGCAATGAACAGTAAGAACAAGAACATTAGAGACCTGTATAGAGGAATAAATGACTTTAAGTGGGGTTACCAGCCTAGCTGTAACTTAGTGAAGGATGAGAATGGTAATCTGCTTGCAGATTCCCACAACATTTTGAATAGGTGGAGGAACTACTTCTCTCACTTATTGAATGCACACAGGGTCAGTGATGTTAGGCAGTCAGAAATCCATACAGCAGAGCCGTTAGTACCTGATCCTAGCCCTCTTGTGGTTGAAAGTGCTATTGCAAAATTTAAACGGTATAAATCGCCAAGTAGTGATCAAATTCCTGCAGAACGTATTCAAGCAGGAGGAGAAATATTAAGTTCTAAGATCCACAAGTTAATTACTTCTCTTTGGCATAAGGAAAAATTGCCTGATCAGTGGAAGGAGTCTATTATTGTACCAGTTCGCAAGAAAGGTGATAAAACTGACTGTAGTAATTATCGAGGGAATCACTGCTATCAACTTCATACAAAATTTTATCCAATATTCTTCTCTCAAGGTTAAGTCCATATATAGATGAAATTATTGGGGATTATCAGTGTGGGTTTCGACATAACAGATCAACTACAGATCAGATCTTTTGCATTCGTCAGATACTGGAGAAAAAATGGGAGTACGATGAGACAGTACATCAGCTATTCATAGACTTCAAGAAAGCCTACGATTCAGTTAGGAGGGAAGTATTGTACAATATTCTGATAGAGTTTGGGATACCCATGAAACTAGTTAGGCTGATTAAAATGTGTTTAAATGAAACGTATAGTAAAGTCCGTATAGGTAAACATGTCTGATAAATTTCCTATCCAGAATGGCCTAAAACAAGGAGATTCTTTGTCGCCACTCCTTTTCTACTTTGCTTTAGAATATGCCATTAGGAAGGTCCAGGAAAGCCACGTGAGGCGAAATTAAACGGGACACATCAGCTGTTGGACTATGCCGATGATGTAAATCTACTGGATGATAATATAGATACCATAGAGAAAAGCACACAAACTTTAAGTGACGCAAGTAAGGAGGTTGGTCTAGAAGTAAATACAGAGAAAACTAAGTATGTGTTACTGTCTTGTCACCAAAATGCAGGGCAAAATCATGACATAAAGATAAGAAACAGATGTTTTGAAAATGTGGCACAGTTCAGATATTTGGGAACAACTATAACAGATCGAAACCTGATTCAAGATGAAATTAAGAGGCGATTGAACTTGGGTAATGCTTGCTACCATTCAGTTCAGAACCTTTTGTCTTCTCGTCTGCTGTCCAAAAACATAAAAATTAGAATATACAAAACTATAATTTTACCTGTGGTTCTGTATGGGTGTGAAACTTGTTCTCTGACATTAAGGGAGGAACATAGACTGAGGGTGTTTGAGAACAGGGTGTTGAGGAGAATATTTGGACCGAAGAGAGACGAAGTGACAGGAGGCTGGAGAAAACTGCACAGTGAGGAGCTTCATAACTTGTACTCTTCTCCAAGTGCGTACATATAATTAGAATGATCAAGTCAAGGAGGATGAGGTGGGCAGGGCATGTAGCACGAATGGGGGAGACGAGGAATGCATATAGGATATCGGTGGGAAAGCCAGAAGGAAAGAGACTAATGGGAAGACTAAGGCATAGGTGGGTGGACAATATTAAAATGGATCTTAGAGAAGTAGGATGGGATGGGATGGATTGGATTGATCTGGCTCAGGATAGGGACCAGTGGAGGGCTCTTGTGAACATGGTAATGAGCCTTCGGGTTCCATAAAATGCTGGGAAATTCTTGAGTAGGTGCAGAACTGGCCGCTCCTCCAGAAGGGCTCAGCACCATGAGTAAGTACGTAAGTAAGTAAGTAAGTAAGTAAGTAAGTGGCGAAATTCCGTGGATGTTGTAAGATCGGTGAATGCGTTAACATGTTCACAAAAGCCGCCACTGGACCCTGTCATGTAAGAGATAATTCGAACCCACATCCTCACACCCACTTTCTTTTAAGGTCCGTTTTATTATTATTATCCTTCCATCAACATCTAGATCCCCAAAGTGGTGTTCTGTTCCGTCCTCTTGAAGAGTGTAACCTTAGTGAATGTATGGTGTAGCCAACTAACTCCATGGAGGTGAGTCCTTCTTGGGAAGCTAATAGTTCCTCAGCCACCCAAGAAATTACCAGAATTTTATGGAACCGAATATCGATTGCCGTGTCCACAAGAGCCCGCCACAGATTCCTGCCCTGAGCCAGATGAATCCAGTTCACATCCTCACATCCTATTTCTTTGAGATCTGTTTTAATATTATCCTTCCGTCTACTGCTAGAGCTTCGTAATGGTCCATATTCCTTCATGATCTACCAAAATTAAGAATGTACTTCTCTGCCGTGTGTGCTACATGTCCTGTCCATCTTATCCTTGATTTGTTGGCTCAATATTTTGTGAATAGTACAAATTATGAATCTCCTCGGTAGGTATTTTTCTCCAGTTTCCTGTTATTCCTACCCACAAAGGTCCAACTATTTTCCCCCTCACCAATCAAGAGTCCTTTTTACTGCGGTATGCGTATTCACTCTGGGGAGTAAAGCGCGGCCGGCGCGTAAGGCTGACAACCTTATCGCCATCTTTGAGCCGATTGTCTAGATAATGTGGGACCCTCCACCTCTCGCAACCCTAGGGGCCTTCACGGCCTGTTACAGGGATAGCTTTACTTTTACTTTTTTATATGTATTCACTGGAAAGTCTTGGCGCCTGAAATACGTCGATTAGACTAATATACTTACAGTCGGGTCAGAGAAGTTGCCGCTATAGCACGGCGAACTGAATAGTCCTGTTCAGGATTTGAGGTTCTCTTAGCGCTGGTTATGAAGAGTACTGTCTTCTGGGATATAACGCCATATAGTTTTTTGAAAGCCAGCCGACGTTTCGGAGGAACATATCGCCTTCACCTCCAGGATCGTAGAATATGCCGATCAAGATATCAGAATGAAAATAGGTGGCAAGCAAGCGGCTCTGCCTGCCACGATCCTGGAGGTGAAGGCGATATGTTCCTCCGAAACGTCGGTTGACTTTTATCGGACTGCACGGCGATACATCCCAGAAGATAGTACTCTGATTAGTTCCAATTGTGAACACACGGTTATTGTATGTCGTCTTCCCAGAAGCGTTAGGCGTATGTAGGGGCAACCCGAGAGTTCATGACTGTCACCACAAAATGCTGCTCTAAGTCCTGTCCTGATACAGACGCATCCAGTACACACCCTCGCCACACGTTTTCCCAAGGTCCGTTGTATACCAAGTTTATAATTATTTGAGGCCATGAACAACGTTTACTGCTATTTATTTGGACAATGTTCATAATCCTAGCTTTTAAGTGAGACCAAAACTTTTCGGAAATTGGTTCTACTTCTGTTTTTAGGTAGAGATGATATTAAGAAGGACTGGGACTGATCTTTTTCCCTTGGCCTTTCCAAGCAGATTCTGGTGACTAAGATCATACATTTCTCTCGGCTTATAGCTGCCTTAGAGTGACCCGAGGTGTAGGTCTGTAACAATCTGTTGGGCTGATATATTGGACATTGTTTGATTTGTTAGACTGATAATCCGGACATTTTCTTTCTAGGTTCTCATATCACAATTTCAGAAACTTGTTCTTTTTCCCTACTCAGTTGACAGGATAAAATATTAAATCCGATTCCATTAGACTTCCTGACAGGGTTTGAAATTAGCTCTACCAAGGGATCTAAGAAGATAGGATTGCCCACTTAATCCTGTCACCTTAACCAGAACCAGTTTTTGAAACATATTTTGAAAAGAATTTGGATAGTTGACAATTTTCAAGACGTCTGTCAAAATAAATCACACTATGTCATATTTTGATGTTAGGGGCAGCGTCGGGAGGTGGCAAGCTGCACGAGAGCTGGGAATTCGATTCTGGTGCCCGTGACTTGAGCCCAGAGCCCCACACCCTGCAGAAATTGGTGGAAGCAGCTGGAGGTTCCCTACTCACATCTGGTGCTACAGGCAACATGCTTGATCTTGCCAATAAGGTAAGAATATAGCATCACATCATATGCACAGTAGTAAGGCTTCTACTATAATTCAAGATGTCACTGACTTGAATTGGGGCGAGTCAGTCAGTAAAGTGACAGGTTACAGACTGGACTACTGGCGCACTGACTTTTAATTCCTGGCAGGAGGATAGGTCTTTATCTTTGTCAGTGCATCCAGACCAGTTCTGGGTTCACCTGGCCTTCCATCCAGTGGGTTCTGGGGGATTTTTCCCTGGGACAAAATGTGTGAGTGGGTGACACTGACCATTCACCTCCATCTTGTGAAACATTACAAGCAAATGGAGGTAAAATTAAGGAAAATAGAATTGAGCCTTTAAACATCACACCTCTGCATTAGTTTCAGGTGAGAGGTGAGTTTGAGATTCTGTCTTCTCTATCTTCATGGAAAGCTCCGCCGTACCCATACGAGGGTGGGTGGACTAGCTAAGAGAAAAATGCGTGTTCCTGCTGGGAATAAAACCCCAGTTGTCTGGCCATTTGCTAATCACCTTTTCTGACTAACTTATGTGGTAACAGCTTCAATGAGTTCCATTATTATTGATATTAAACTTCTTACTCTATAACCAGCCAAGACTGGGTCAGAAATGTAGCTCCAGAGTTGAAGACCAAGGATATGCTACCAGGGCTGTCGCCCTCTCAGAGAATAGTGATCAGTACCGAGCAATGGTGGAATGATGACTAGCAGGGGAAACCGAAGATACTTGGAGAAAACCTGCCCAAGTGTCACTTCATGTCACTTCGTCGACAGTGGATCTCACATGAGTATTGAACACGAGTCTCAGCAATGCGAAACCAGCATTTAAGCACTCGATTTGTGACATCACATAGAGTACTAAATCGAAGTTAAATGAAGTGACAGATGCATGTGAAATGTATTTTGTATCTTCAGTTTCTTGTATCATGCAAACACTGCCTATTGTGATATGTAAAATGAAATTCTGTAGCCCTGATTCATTCCAAGCCTCTTCCACTACACAATTGCACTCCGTTTCAGGGCCATAGGATCCCATTTAATTTACGATGCTCTCATTGGTTCACTCTTAGCCCGAGTTCTAGTTCCCCAGTCCCTATGTCAGTGACCATTTTTTCCCATGTGCCTTACTTCTCTGCCTGGAAGGTGGAAGGAGCAGATTCTTCCCAAGTGACTACAAGGCACAACATCATAGGATTCTCCTAACTAGCTTAGTTCCCTGGTTAGAATACATATTGTCACAGTGTGGAGTGACTATAGACAAGGGTTTTAATTGTGCATCACAATGTTACACGTCTTTATAAATGACATCTTGATTGTCACACTCTCTTAATATATAAAAGCAGAAATCCATCAAGTGTATCTGATTTAATAATTAAACAGTAAGTTCTGGGAAGAATTAATTGCCTACATTCCTCTGATATGACAGCATAGAAAATGACGTGTCCAACAGTTTTTGCATTGTTACTTGTATTTTCGTTGCCGCGGTAACGTTTTTGCCAGACTGTGCCTAATAATGATAGGGCAATACACATACAGACACACAGACTACTGGGAAGGTTTTATGAAGTACGCCATTGAGATGGGCGCAGGTGCCATGATATACATACCAAGTTTTATAAAGATTGGTTCAGACTACTACTGTTACTAGGCAGCGGCGTGTAAACAACAGAGGTACTATGTTTTCTTGGTGGTCCGTGCCGAGATGTTTATAAGCAGGAGAGTTGGTGACAGTCAATCACTAAAGTTAGTCGAGAGTTACTGTAGCTGAGGCCGGGGACAGTTCGGGAACCCAGAGGAAGGGAATGTCCGCTATTGGAAGCTGCTACCAAGCAACAGCTAGGGACGACTGGGAGGACTTCATGTGTGCTGTAGTTACAGTGATCGTTGGAGTGAGTAACTCAGTGAGAATGACATAGTTATTTGTAGTTACGAGTGTAAATGTCCAATAAATCCAGTTACCAATCCCCCTTCTGTAATCACTCATACGCTTGGCAATATATTTTAGTCACTAGTGGCCATCATTAGGAGGCGAACCGGTGTTGTAAAGGAAGTAATTTACATACTTTGTTATTGAACATATATTGTAAAAATCATTGAAAGGACTTGAGATAATTGTGGATATCAAGACTGAATAGTTAAAATCTCTTAAAATATTTTAAAAGATCATGTTGAGTTGATAGAGGATGGATGTGGCGATTGGCTTCGTAATGATTTCTGGTGCTGGCTGCACAGAGTTCTAATGCATATGTGTCCATGTGTATTGTCACGTAGTGTATGTGTGACTGTAGACGGGGTTCGGATTCGTGAATATATTTATTGACCTCTTACAGGTCATAACTACAAATAACTATAACACTAGCTCAATTTCCACATTTTACGGTTCACTAGAGCACACACCACAGACTCTCGTACAGAACTTACTTGGTCGATTTATAGTAAAATTTTAGCTAACGGTCGGCCCAGTTGTCCCTTGATTGTAACATCTCGACACAGACCACACAGAAAACACATCTTTTATTGTTGCGTTCGTGTCTGTTACTGCGGGGACGTGATTACCGAGCCGTTGCCCAGAAACGGTCCTGGTATATCAGCCCATCTCGCCGTCGTTGCATAGCAATGGCTCTACACGCTACAGTATATTGATGCTGCATACATTGTGGTGGAATATGTGGTAGTGATGGTACACGTATTGGTAAGGTGTTACCTACGTTTCGTAGGAATACACTGCCTCCATCTTCACGGTAGCGATTCTTGATGCAGTTATGCTGGTGGCAAGGAGCTGAAACTTAGACACAGCTAAGTTACTTTATTTTTTAGCCGTTTATAGTAAATTCGCGTTTAGGAAATTCAGTTATTGATGCTAAAATATCTTCGATGGAAACTGTGCTGGATGTGTAAGATTTCCGAGAGGAATAGATGAAAATTTCCACGAGAGGCAGTCCCGAGAAGAGATGAATTGACCTGATAGAGGAAGGTATTTCGAAGGGAGGAAATTACGTGGGAAAGGAAAAGGAGACGGAGGAAGGAGATATGAAAGAGACTGCAAAGAATTTATATCTGTAGTTGACATTACCTGGTAAAGACGATAAGGGTCAGACAAAGATGTCAGACAGTGATGTACCCACTGAAGTGTATGCAGGAGCCTTCAATCCACAGCATTTGCTTTCAGTATTAGCTAAAGTCGGGTCATGGAAAGAATGTACATTGATTCTCCTTTTCATGTGTGCTTAGCAGTTACCTCCCTTCTGCTTTATTTCCCCCACTTCCACCCGTTTTCGCATGTATTCTGGATTTCATACCGTCCGCCCCTTTACATTGTGGGTTGTTATTGGTTTTGATAAGTGGAAGGGGACAGGCGGTGAACTCCCATCTTTCGTGTTTATTCTTTCCCTGACCCGAGTGTACCTAGACTATATTCATGCCTCGTGGTCCGTCTGCTCTTAGACTCTGAGGAGTGGAGACATTACCTTCCTCCGAAGCATCGTTAAACGTGTACCAGACTACACGATGTACGATGTAACATCCTAGCGTTGTGTTCCTCAGAGTGAAACGTCAGGAGCTCCTCAAATCAAACTGTTTTCGTTTTGTTGGGTTTGATGTTCGTTGAACTTGTTGCGTGAGTGAATAAGTGGAACCTCGCTTAACGAGCATAATCCGTTCCAGAATCTTACTCGTAATGCGAAACACTCGTTAAGCGAAACAATGTTTCCCATATAAATTAATGTAAATACGATAATGCGTTCCATGCCGAAAAAAATTATCAAAAAATTTTATGTATAACGTTTATTCAAAGAAAATTATACATACTCGNCATTTCTCTTATTGCGCCAGAAGATTGTTGCATTGCTGTTACCTCCTCCTCCTCTGACAAACTCTCCTCCACAACCTCTTGCTGTGAAACACAATGCAACTCCAAATCGTGCAAATCGTTGATGTAGACCGATTGTATGTGCGTGCTAGATCAGCCGCCCTCACACCTCGTTCTCGCTTTTCAATGATACGTTTCATTTCTACGGTTATTTTTATTCCCTTATGGCTGTCTTTTTGCGGCTTTTTCTTCGGGGACATTTTTGCAAGGGTTATCAAACTTTGCACAAAAAAATCACAAATAATATGTCTGAACACAAGTTTGGAAAAATGTGTGAACACAGGCGACACTAAGATGCTAGCGGAACGAGTACTAAACACAGACTGATGCAGCAAGCGCACAATCCAGGACTTCCCCTCTCGTCACTCGTTAAGCGAAACGTCGCTCGTTAAGCGAGCCGCCCGCTTACAATTTGTTTTGCTCGTTATGCGAATTACTCATGATGAGAGGTGCTCGTTAAGCGAGGTTCCACTTATATACGTCTTGTAACACACGGGAAGGGCCGCGCCATAGCTCAAGCGGTTAGTCGCTGGCTTCCCACCGCGGCGGCCCGGATTCGATCCCGGGTCTGGTAAAGTGGGATTTGTGGTGGAAAAAGTGGCACTGGGGCAGGTTTTCTCCGAGTACTTCGGTTTCCCCTGCCAATCTTCATTCCACCAATTGCTCCACAATCACCCTCACCTATCCTCTGGGGCTGGTACAATAGGCCAGAAGTGGCCTCAGTACAAAGGACTTAGTCCCACCCCACTAGCAATAAAAAAAACACACGGGAAACTTAATGTTAAATTCCCCCACATTCGTGTCTCGCGTCGCATTTTGGAAGGGTCCAGTTGGCTGTATGAGAAATTGTAGAGTAAAAGTTTAGGGGCGGTTGTTTTGTAGACAGGTTCAGCTGTGTGTGTCGGAAGGGGGCGAGATTGGTGACAGTGATTTATTATCCTCAGGGGTGATAGCAAATAGCGATGATAGGGGTAGTGGTGCACTGGAGTTCTGTCTCGGTTTAGCAGTATGAGGGTCATCCAGTGAGATTAATCTGGTGATGTGTCTGAAGCAACTAATAGGGGTGTTGTGCCCACCTTCTCAGCGTGACACACGAAGAGATGCTTGCAGAGGATTGGGGCATGAAACTGTGAT